GGGATGTCGACCCCGAGCGGGAGCCGGTGCGAGATGTGGGCGCTGAGGCTCCCCAAAGAGCCAAGGTGAGGGGCTGCCTGGGATGCCACGAGGGCCTCCTCGCCCCCAGCAGCTGCCCCTGAACAGCCACTGCCTGGGGGTATCCACGGGGTCACTCCTTGCCTCGCAGAGGTGGGCAGAGCAGGGGTCTGATCCCACTCAGAGCAGCACGGGGGGGACAGGTGCTCTCAGAGCTGTAGCAGGAAGACAAGACCCTACGTGGACTAGCATGGTGGGGTTGGACCCCACAGAGCAATGTCATGGGATCAGACTCCTCTTCAAGCAATGGGCCAGGGGGTCAGATGGAGCGGGATTTTTGACTTAGACCCCTCCCAGACCTGCATGAACAATGTCAGACCCCTCAAAGCAACCTCAGGGGTCAGACCCTTCTCAGAGTAGGGTCATGAGCTCAGACCCCTCTTGGAGCAGTGTGATGGGGTCAGACAGGCAAATTGAAGCAGCCCCAGGGGTTAGACCCCTCCTAGAGGCAGCATGGGGGCGTCCAGGACCCCCACAGCCCCAGCAGCAAGATCACCTTTGTGCTGGTTCTTCTCCCATTCCTGGGCCTTTCCCTTTGGAGACAATAGGCACTAATCAGTGTGCCAGAATAGGGGGTGGTGGCTTCAGTAGTCCAGGTGACAGCCTGAATGCCAGTGGGTGTGCGTTGAAGGGAGGAGGAGGAATGAGAGGACAGCAGAGCCACCCCAGGGGTGCTCCCAGCTCCTCCATCCCCCTCACCCCTCTTCTGCCATCAGCTCTGTCACAACACAGAGGTCACTTCAGGGTGTCACACCTGTCCACCTGATGGCCCGGCTGCTGAGTGGCCAATTCGACCCCAGTTCGAGCCTCCCCTGCGAGCTCCCTGCTCCATACCTGGGGATGTCCCATCCCCAGAAAACCCCTTGCAGCTCATTTACTGTGGGCTCGTGGGGCCTGGAGAAGATCTGCCGCATGGTGGTCACGATCAGGCCAGTGTAGTGGATGGGGATTAGCTCATCCCAAATTCCCAGTGAGGCAGGGAGCTGACAGTGGGGTGTGGTGGGATATGGGAGCTCCCTGGGAGGGCAAGTCCTCCATCTGCCTTGGGGGGGTCCCTGGGGACCAGAAGGTTTGGCTGGAGCAACTGGTTATGGGGTGAAGGCTGGGTGCCAGAGGGGGTGGGAAGCCCCTCACCCCTGGGTGACTCACTGTTCCCTGTGCTGGGCCACCCATGGTGCCACAGGAGCTGGAGCTGATGGAAAACATGTTGACAAGCAAGCAGGAGGAGAGCTGGGAGCAGCGGGGCCCCCGGGCCTCCCTCACCCGCCAGGAACGGAGCCGCCTGCTCTGGGAGGACGTCAGTGTCATGGAGGAGGATGCCACCAAAGTCACTGCCCTGAAGCTGAGGCTGGATGAGTCCCAAAAAGTGCTGCTCAAGGAGCGGGAGTGAGTGCTTGGGGTGTCATCCTCGTGGGGTGACAGCTGAGCCCAATCCCCATCAGGGTGGGATGTCCCATGGAGTCCTGCCGGCTGTTCCCAGCATTGCCTCTTCCCAGGGACAAACTGGCACTCAGCAAGAGCATTGAGAAGCTGGAGGGCGAGCTCAACCAGTGGAAGATCAAGTATGAGGAGCTCAACAAGAACAAGCAGGAGGTGATGAAGCAGGTGAGCAAGGTGCCTGGGGATCAGGGGTGCCCCAGGGGGTGGCCTGTCCCCTGGCAGGTTGCATGTGGTTGGAGATGGTGACCCACAGCCATCTCCTTAGCTCTAGGGGCCTCATTAAGTGTCTTAATTAGTGCTATTGAGCTAGTTGGTCTATCTGCAGAGGTTGGGTGGGTGGGTATAGGCAGCGGTTGGATGGTGCAGGGTGTGTGTTCTGCCCTCCTTGGGTGCTGTGTCCCCCCCACAGCTCAACATCCTGAAGGAGATCCACCAGGACGAGCTGGGGCGCATCTCTGAGGACCTGGAGGACGAGCTGGGTGCTCGCTCCAGCATGGACAAGAAGCTGGCTGAGCTGCGTGCGGAGGTGAGGCCGAACCCCAGGGCGGGGGTGAAGGGAGCGGTGAGGGAGGTCCCTGCGGCCCCTCGACCACTGTGTGTCCTTGTCCCAGATGGAGCGGTTGCAGGCGGAGAACGCGGCTGAGTGGGGCCGGCGGGAGCGGCTGGAGACTGAGAAGCTCAACTTGGAGCGGGAGAACAAGAAGCTGCGGGCGCAGATCGAAGACCTGGAGGAGGTGCTGGCTCGCAAGCGGCGCCAGACAGCCAGTGCCCTGGACACCGACCTCAAAACCATCCAGGCTGAGCTCTTTGAGAAGAACAAGGTGTCATGGGGGTGCTCCTGTCCCTCACCATCCCCTTCCTGGGTGACCCTGTCACTTCAATGGTGGTTCAGCATTTCCCAGGATCTCTTCAAGGCCAAACTGCCACCACCCTTCACCTAAGAGATGGTAGTGATCCCATCCTCACTCCCATCAGCTCCTCTGTCATGGGGTGGGGTGGTGGGAGAGGTCCCTGGGGAGCGAGAAGGGGGCACCCAGCAGTAAGGGGGTTGCCACCAACTCAGCCCCCTACCCTGTGCCCACTGCAGGAGCTGGCTGACCTGAAGCACATCCACGCCAAGCTGAAGAAGCAGTACCAGGAGAAGATGGCTGAGCTGGCCCATGCCAACCGTCGCGTGGAGCAGCATGAGGGTGAGGTGAAGAAGCTGCGCCTGAGGGTGGAAGAGCTGAAGAAGGAGCTGGCCCAAGCCGAGGACGAGGTGGGGAAGCTCATGCTGGTGGAGGGGCCAGGGGTGGGCAGCTCGGCTCCCTCTGTGGCTGCTGATGGCCCCATCCTACCCCACCCCATCCCATCCCACCCCACCCCATCCCACCCCATCCCATCCCACCCCACCCCACAGCTGGATGAGGCCCACAACCAGACACGGAAGCTGCAGCGGTCACTGGATGAGCAGACTGAGCAGAGTGAGAGCTTCCAGGTGCAGCTGGAGCATCTGCAGTCCCGGTAAGCAGAGAACCAGGGGGGTACCAGCAAGGACCCTAGGGATGGTGTTTGCCTTGCCACCAGCCCTCAACTAGCATCTCCCTGGTTGAACCTCAGGCTAAGCATGGCTTCCAACATCCTTGGAAGGTGTGCAGCCACCCTTGAAGCACCCTTCCTGCTGCGAGCTGGTTGGCATTCACCTCCCAGTTAAACCAGTATGAGGCTGCCCACAGACCAGTAACCCCCAGTTCCACCCCACTGGGGTTTTCCTTCACCATTACCCAGGGCCAGGGCAAGCTCCAAGCAGCCCACACCGATCTGGGGAGGTGGGAGGTGGATTTTATTGCCCTGGAAAACTTTCCCTGGCCTCTCTTGGCCTCACCAGCAGTAAAAAGCTGAAATGGCTGCAGATCGATGCTGCGTCTCCGGCAGGTGCTGGGGAGGTTGTATTTATCATCCTCCTCTATTTTATTGGGACATCTTCATTAAATCATGGAGGAATAATGGAGGCTTCTTCTTCCCTCCTCTCCAGCCTCCCTCTGCTCTCAGCCTTAAATAATTTATCCTTTCCAGTAAAACGCAGCAAACTGGTTGGATCTGACCAGGTCCCTTTTTTTGTTTCAAATTTGCTTCATAAATTTTCATGGATGAACTTTCACAGGAAGGAGAGCCAGGAGCTAAACCCACTATGGGCTGCCGGGAATGGGGACTCCTGGGTTCTTTTTGGGAGAATCCCCATTTTAGGGGGATGACTCCCCTCTGCTCTGCACTCTGGCTGGGTCGAAGGTGCCCAGCGTGGTTGTGTCCAGCTCCAGGGGGACACCCAGTCCCTCCAGAGCATCATCCAGGGCTCCCTGGGAGGGGACTGACCCGGCACACCGAACTCAGTGGGAGCCACATGAACGGGGTCCAAGCGAGGTGTAGCCGTGCTGGGGGGGTGCAGGAAGAGCTGCCCTGCTGCCCCCCACCCCAGCAGCTGTCTCCCACAGGCTGCGGCGGCAGCAGAGCGCCCCGCTCTTCGGCAAGATGCGCAGCACCCGCTTCGGCCCCGACGACGCCGGGGACGGCACCAGTGACCCCGATGAGGATGAGGACCTGCAGATCCAGGTGTCCTAGAGCCCACAGTGCCACCGCCACGGGGACACCCCGTGGTGCTCCTGCCCATAAGTGCCTGTCACTGTGGGGCCTGGCCTCTATCTACACGAGGTGAAAAACGAGGCACAGAGCACCAGGGAGGAACTTGCCTGGGAATGCTCCAAGCCCACTGCCTCTTGGACAGAATCTGACGCCCCTTGACCACCAGCATTTCCTAGGACACAGATATGGTCACCAAAGCCATCACTGAGCAGCCCAGTAGGAGGAAGCACAGGGCAGAGAAGGGCATTGAGTGCTGCCACCAGCCCTGCCCTCCTGCCCACATTTTTATATATATTATATATTTGTATGTATTTCTATATGATTTTTTTATTATAAATGCAGAGCCCAGAGGGGTCCAGGCTCTGGCAGTGGCTTGGGCTCTGCTCTGTCCCCACACAGGATGGGTGGGACAGCACTGGGAAGTCACAGTGGACTGGATACAGAGCTGCTCATGTCACCCCTTTGCTATCGCTGTCCTGTGCCTGGGGACAGGGCAGTTCCTGGGTACAGCCTGTCCCTGTGCCTGGGTGGCAGGGGTTGTGGGGTAGCTCCTGGCCTGCGGCTGTGGTGGTGGAGCTGGGG